ACAACTGTTTTAAAAAGAGAGAATGAGAAAGATCTCTATCTCATTCTAAAGAGTAATCTTCAGAATATATGAATCAAGAAAAAGCAAGGAACTTAGAAGGGAGTATAGTGTGCCTCATTAAAAACAACTAGAAGAAAGACAAACATATTGATGTATAAGCATTATATATTCAAAAAGAAGCATTTAAGAACAAGCCAAAGGCTAATATAAAGGGCCACCTCTGGAGGGGAAAGAACAGGGGTAAAGGGACAAGAGTAGAAGGAAACCTCTCTGAATTACCTTGTTTTACAGTTTCAAACCTTGGAACCATGTAAATGTGGCATATAATCTTCTTTAAATGTACCAAAAAAAAGCAAAGCAATCCTGAAAAATTGACTGAAACAAATCACTCTAATAGTATACCAAAGTGGTAGCATAAACACACAGAGAAGAATTATTTTAGTTACTTAACTTTATATCTCTAGTATAATTGATCTTAAGCACAGAAAGAACCACAAGGAAATTCTTAAAATAACATTCCATAGGCTCATTATTAGTAATAATATCTGTATTGTTATTTGGAAATTATAATATACTGTAATGCAGTTTGGAATAAAGACTTTCAACATAATAAAACAGATACAAGTATATAAATTAAAAAGTTAATAAAAAACCCTAAGACCTTTAATTTAAATGAATGCATGATTTATTTATTTACATTATAAAATTTACAAACTTCTTAGCTCTGCCTACTAAAAACCCTAAAAGGAATGAAAACCTAAAAGTAATGTGCATCTCTAGGATCCAGATTATGGTCTCTAAATACAATAGCATAGTGGGAACTAAAAGGAACCAGAACTCCTAAGGAAAACAGACAATTTCAGGTCTGGGCAGGAAACAGACAAAATGAGCTTGTCATGTTAGAACAAGCAAGCTATCAAAGATGACCAGAGTCATGTCAGAAGAACAGAGGAGCAGACGACCAACAACAGGACAATTTGACCATCACAATAACAATAAAAAGAACAATGACTACAAATACACTAAAATACATAAACTATATTTCTTAATCCATGAGTTCATAATAATACCCCCCAAAAAACTGACAAGTTATCTTTGAAGACTATTAGAGCATTATCTCACTATTTTGTAAATTAATAAAGAGAGAGACTCAAGCATGTACCCTGCCTTTCTGGTACTAACTATATTTCATGGTAACTAAATAGTTAACAAGAGAAAACTCTTCTTTACAGAAGAATCCTAGCTAAAACAAGTAGAAAGAATGATAGAACTAGGGAGTTATCCTTTGGCAATCTCTAACAAAATAATGGATATAGGTACCCATCAATTGGTAAACATTCATGGAGGAATTTATAATAGAAGGAGCAGGTTGAAAAATCCCTGAACCCAGTGATCAATCTTAACATAACTAATATTTAGAGAAGTAGATAGAAAAGTAGAAAAAAAGTAGAAAAGTAGATTAGAAAAGTAGATCAGAAGGACAAAACTGGTACATCCTTCTGATAATTGCAATAGGAACTACAGGGCATCACCTATGAAGTTTTCTTGCCAAAGAAAGAAAAACTTAACTCTGATCAAGCCTCTAGATATGACTACGGGAGAAAGAGAAACATGCTAATACCAGAAACAATCATCCAAAATGCAGAAAATTGTATAGACAAATAACAGATCCAGTTTCTTCAACAAATACATGGCATGAAAAAAGGAATGGACTGTCATAGATCATAAAAGACTTACCAAGCATACTGACCAAAGCAAAGACACAAATAAGCTTCAAGTAAAAGAATGGAAAGTTACACCATGCTAACACTAGTCAAAGAAAGCTGCTGTGCTTATGTTTACATCAGATGGAACAGATTTCAGACCAAAGAATACTACCAGGAATAAAGAGAGTCATCTCACAGACGATGAAGGGGTCAATTAGTCAAGAGGACATAAGAATCTTCAATGTTTACGAATAAAATTACAGAGCTTCAAAATACATGTAGCAAAAACTGATAGAACATCACGAGAAATACACAAATCCACAATTATAGTTGTAGATTTCAATACTCCTCTCAATAATTGATAAAACAAGTAATCAGAAAATCAACAAGGATATAGTAGACTTCAACGCTCTCAACCAACTTTACCTGATTAACATTTACAAGACACTCCACTCAACAACAGCAGAACACACGTTCTTCTTAAGTGCACATGGAACATATACCAAAATAGACTATATTCTGAGACATAAAACAAGTCTGAATCAATTTAAAAGAATTCAAGCCATACAAAGCATATTCTCTGACCACAATGGAATTAAATTAGAAATCAGTAACATAAAAATCTCCAGAAATATCTCAAATATTTGAAAACTAAAGAACACATTTCTAGCCAATCCATAGATCAAAGAAGAAATCAAAGGAAAATTAGAAAGTATTTTAAAGTGAATGATAACAGACTTTGGGTGGTCAACATGATGTAGTCTACACAGAAATCAAAATATAATGATGTTCACGTCTGAAATTTATATAATGTTATAAACCGACATTATCTCAATTAAAAAAATGAAAATAACACATATCAGCATTTGTGGGACGCCACTAAAGCAGTACTTAGGGAGAAGTTCATAGTAATAAATGTCTCTATTTTAGAAAAGGAAAGTTCTCAAATCAACGACATCAGCTTCCTCCTTAAGAACCTAGAAAAATTAGAGCGAATCAAAAAGTAAGCAGGAAAAAAATGGAAACAATAAAAATCAAAGTGCAAATCAAGGAAATACAAAACATAAGAATAGAGAAAAATCAATGAAACCAAAAGCTGGTTCCCTGAGAAGATTAATAACATTGATAAACTCGAGCCATATTCATTAGGAAAAAAAGAAAGAAGACACAAATCACCAATCAGGAAGCAGGTGGCATCAGATTCCACAGACATTAAAAAGACAAGGGAATATTATGAGCAACTTTATGCCATATATTTGGCAACTTAGATAAAATGTAAAAATTTCTTAAAAGACACAAAATACTAAAGCTGACTCAAGAAGAAATAGATAACCTAAATAGCCCTGCATCTATTAAAGAAATTGAAACTGTAGTTCAAAACCTTCCCACAAAGAAAGCTGCAGGCCTTGATGGCTTCACAGGTGAATTCTATCAATCATTTAAGGAAGAACTATTACCAACTCTATGCAAAATCCTCCAATAAATTCAAGAGGAAGGAATACTTCCCATCTCATTCTATGAGATCAGCAGTGGCCTGAGACCAAAACCACAAAAGACATCACAAAATAATTAGAAGATATTACGGAAGAAAAGTAACAAAGATGAAATACTTACTAAAAAATCTGAACAAGAAACATGCAAAACTGGTATGAAGAAAATTCTGAAACACTCCTAAAAGACAGATAAGTATCTTTTCAACAAATTGAAACACTTCCACATTCTTGGGTAGGACAATTCAACAATGAAGATGTCAATTTGCCCCAGGTTAATATATACATTTGACATAATTCTAATTAAAAATGCCGTCAAGCACAGAAAAACCTAGAAATCTTTCTGAACCGAAAAGCAAAGACGACTCAAAAATAAACGAAAGTGTATCAATAGGGCACAGAAGCCAGCCTGAAGTAGATCCCACTGACCAAACTGGGGACGATTTTAGCTTCAAAAAGAATAATGCCTTTAATTTATAATAAATAAATTTAATAAATAAAATATTTATTTTATTAAAATCCTGAATAAATAAAAATCCAGGAGTCCAAAGTGACACAAAACAAGAGAGACAAAGAGCAAGCTCAAAATCATTTCCATGATAGGAGGCGACTATTACGTCAATTTCTTAATCTAAAAATTAGCTGTTCGGGGCCAGCCCGGTGGCACAGCGGTCAAGTGCACACGCTCCGCTTAGGTGGCCTGGGGTTCGCAGGTTCGGATCCCAGGTGCAGACCTATGCACCGCTTATCAAGCCATGCTATGGCGACGTCTCATATAAAGTAGCGGAAGATGGGCACAGATGTTAGCCCAGGGCCAGTCTTCCTCAGCAAAAAAGAGGAGGATGGGCAACAGATGTTAGCTCAGGGCTAATCTTCCTCAAAAAAATAAAAATAAAAATTAGTGGTTAAATGGAAAGGATTAAAGCATTTACCCTGCTGTTATAGGAATTCACCCATTTGATGAGGAAAAGTTTTTTTTACAAAAGCTCACCTAATAAATGTAGAAATAACAACATAATTAGAAAATCACCATTTTCTAAACTCAAACAAAAAACTGACTTAGGCAAAGACTAATAATGGATGTCAAATTCATTAGGTGAAAGAATTTGGGGGAACAGGATATTCAGAAATGAAGTATACTATTTCCCTATACAATATTCTTACCAAAAACGTTAAACTTGAACCTATGCAGGTCTTTACACCAAACTTCCAGTTTACAGGACACAGAGGAATGCAGCGAGAGGAAACAATCAGACAAACTGAAACAGGGGCCTTCTTTTCTTTCCTACATCCCTACATTTCCTACATCCCTTCTCCTGTTCACTTGGCTGAAGTCCCCTCCTTTCTGTCTACTCCAATCTCTGTCTCAGCTTTACTAAGCATGAGAAACACTGATGCAGGACATACAGGAGGGCTGGTTTCTCTTTATCCTTATCCTGGACGGCTGCTACACTGGCCCTGTCTGCAAATTTACCAAATTCCTTCAAGAAAGAAGAAGTTGGGGGAGGACAGGGAGCAAAACAACAAGGAAAGTATCAGTAGAAAAGATGAGTAGGAAACACATCCAGAAGGTAGAGTAGAGAGTGACGGTGATGAAGGAAACAGAGCCAGAAGCTAAAGAGATTCGATCTGGCCGAGGTATTTCACAAGTCCTAGACTGATACAAGGTCTGAGAGGGTAGAGTGCCAATACACAATAAAGTGACCAGTTAGGAGGACAATTCTTAATTTGGACATAAAAATTGGTTCTCTCTTCTCTCCAACCTTTTAATTTCATTCTGAAACAAAAACTCAATTAGCTTCACCTTTCTTGGTAAAGAGATCGTGAAATGTACCACACAGGTAGGAAATTCCACTGCTGTGCATATCAACATGGAGTTGGTAGCCATACAGTCCATACTCTGGGCTGTCATCCAAAATGGGGCTATGAGGAGGCAGCTCGTAGGGGCTAAAAAGCAAAACAAAATACACAGACAAATTTGTCAACACCAGAGATAAATTATTTGCATTGAAAATACTCTTTAAAAAATTAACATTCATTCAAAGCACAGCTCCTATCAACCCTCTGTAGGATTCCCAATAACCTTCAATACAATGAACTCAAAAGAACTGCTCCATGTTCCTTCTACCAACTTCTATAAAACAGTCAAAGATATGAGTTCTGCAGGTATCTACAAGCCACCATGGGTGAACATGTGTCTGAGGTCTGCCCCAGGACAGCAGCTCTGCAAAGGCAGCTCTGCTCCTCAGTGGTCTCAGGATCCAGAGGACAGAACTGCACAGCAGGAAATGCAGCAACAAGACCTACAGCGTAGGAACCTGGGCAGAAGACCCAAAGCCACGACAAACGAAGTTTTCTGCAGTAAGAAAAACTTTACTACATAAGGTAACAACTCAAAAGCATTCAGGAGCTTTTCAGGCAATAATAAAAATGAACAAAAGACATAGCGGAGGGTCTAAGCCCCTAGGGGAAGGGTGAGCTGCAGTGAAAGGGAAAGCATATCCCCCCTGAAGACCTTCAGATTCATTAACAGACACGCACAGTACAAACCAAGCAAAAACATATCTGCAGGCCAGACCCAACAGGCCAGGGTCTGCATGCCTTGCAAGATATAAAAATTCACGTTAGTGCAAAGAACTTGAAGCATCTTGCTGCACTGGCATCTTGTAGTAATGAAGCTATCCTGCCCCTATAAATGATATTCTACTAGGTACATAATCCTTTGCTGTTGTTAGTGCCATCAAGTGGATTCCGACTCCTAGCACCCCCATGTTCAGCAGAGGCGAGCCCTTCCTGGTGTCTGTGCGCCATTCTCTCATCTTCCGGCGCTATATCAGACAATGCTCTGCTGCTGTTCATGGGATTTTCATGGCCAGTCTTTTCAGAAGTGGGTGGCCAGGTCCTTCTTCCTAGTCTGTCTCAGTCTGGAAGCTCCACTGCATAATCCCAGAACAAATAAAGCAAATACGTATTCATAAATAATCCAATTATTTTAGCAACAGCTAAGTAATTATGCCTGTTGGCTTGTGTCTATTGATTAAAAATAGAATATCTTTGTAGCTATTCTCAGGATACTAAGATGGTATCAAGTTCTAATCTTTTATATTGAGTAGACAAAAATTCAATACACCACATACAAATACATACATAGTGGCTGAGCCTAATGTGCTCCTCTCCACAAGGTGATGGATATGAAGATTTGCCATAACAAAAGCCAGTTCTTCCTCCCTCTGAAAAGTTAATTAAAAAGAATACATTTTTCAGCTGAAATATTTTAATTTTTCACAAGGTCGTTGTAAAGATTGCAGCACATTCATCTTCCAGATAGATGCAGTTTCTTACAACTCTAAGATTACCACAGTGCTAATGCATTATTACTGCTAATACATTATTACTATCTAATAAGACTTACATGTCACATTGACAGCAAGACCACAATTCACCCAAATACACAGAGCATGCAAAACCCAATGCTCACAAAATGCCTCACATGCTAACTTGTGAGACATCAAAATACTGTATTATATATGATGATTGTGAAAATACACATTGTTAGTTCCAGGTTGTTTCAAATTCTTTTCAAAGACAAACACAATACCGGTAAGACTTTCACAGATACAAGATTAATTGCACAAATAGTTAACACCAGTGGTGTAACATTCTTCTCTCAAGTCCCTGCTTGACTTGGCAAACCCAGTGGGAATGACTAGATTCAAACTCTTCACTCATCCATCAGGTTGAGTAGCAGAAAATGTGGCTGCACAGGAACTGACATCCATTTCTCCCCAAATTCACAGCTGGCACTGACTGGTGTAGGTAACCCAGAATGGTAAATCTGAGGGTGCCATTCTCCAGTAGCCAGACAGAGGACAATCAGATCAACCAGAGTCCTTGTAACTATGTGGGACAACATACATTGATGAATTCAAGTCAAGAAACGCAGGGCAAGCAAACTGCTGCCTTGCCCACAAGTCAACGTCACACAGAAATGGAGGGAGGAAGAGAAACTCTGACTATCATAGCAGGCTGAGAAAAGAAAAAGGTACGAGAGGATGCTGCTGTAGAGCTTGGTTCTGTCTAATCGTCATATAGAGACATGTACTGCTATTCTCAGAATCAAACTTGTGAGGTACTATCTTAAAACATCCATAGGCCAAAGCCACAGATTTAAACAAACCTGGGGGGTACAGAGGCACATCACATTGTTACGCTCTTCACTGAAGTGACTGCCCAGAAAATAACCTCAGAGGAGAGAGCTAGCCAACCTCAGCTAGCAAAAAAAGAAACCTTATCTAGTGGGAAAGGATAACTCCTCAGACACTTTACCCTGAAGGGCAGATTACACTCAATGCCACATCTACAGGATCAGAAACACGTTTGAGAGACTACTAGGTTCAACGCACAGTCAGAGACTTTGGCAGAGAAAGGACACGAAAGGACCTGAAGGAAGGAACATGGATTGACTGGAAGTAGAAAGGGAGAAAACCCCACGATATTAAAGGAATAACGTGACCAGAACCATCCAGGCAGGAACAGGTAGTTTGTCAACAGTGACAGCAGAACTGCAGAGCAGTCTCAATGGACTAGAGGGTCACTTAGCTAGAAAAATGAAGCTGGTAAGATGGGAGAAGGGAATGCAGTTAGTAAGAAATCTAAAGGGTTTTATACTTGATATCATGCATAATGGTGAGTAAACGTGGGACTGTGAGTGAGGAGGTGACAATACACGCAGGGACTCAAATCTTACCTTCCACAGCCCCACCAGGAGGCCCGGGTTTAGGCAGAAGATCCGAACAAGTCTGTCACAGCCAACCATGGTGGATTCAGTTAAATTACTCAGGTCGTAGTTTGCAATTAAAGAATGCCATCGAGGTCTTTGAACACCCATGCCAAAGAAAGGAAAGAAAGAAATGAGCTTTCACATCTACAGTGTTGTCAATTCTCTTCAGTGTATCTAAAAACACTTTTGAAGAGCAAGCTAATAATGTGTACATTGCTAATAAGGTACATGTCAAGGGGCAGGGAGACACAAACAACTTGTATAGATAAAAGGCAGAATGGACACATCCAAATTTTCCACCCAACTATGTTTTTCTTCCCTCCCTCTCGCTCTTACTGTCAACTCAATGGGCTGGTCAGAAGCAAATTGAAGAATCATGAAGGTGAGAAAAAGGAAGAACCATCTTCTATTCTCTTCCCCTCAAACCCAGCACAACGCTATGATCAAAAGTAGATTTTCAATATGTATTCCTAATTAAGTGAGGGAAATAATGCATAAACAGAGATGAAATACTTTAAATGACAAAAGATCAAGCGTTCTCAGTAGGCTATCTGAAAGCAGATACACCTTCTAAAGTTATTATCAAGAATAACTTAGAGGGCCGGCCCAGTGGTGTAAGTGGTTAAATGCGTGCACTCCGCTGCAGCGGCCCAGGGTTCGCCGGTTCGGATCCCGGGTGCACACCGACGCACCGCTTGTCAGGCCATGCTGTGGCGGTGTCCCATATAAAAAGTGAAGGAAGATGGGCATGGATGTTAGCCCAGGCCAGTCTTCCTCAGCAAAAAGAGGAGGATCGGCAGATGTTAGCTCAGGGCCAATCTTCCTCACAAAACAAAAAAGAATAACAGAGATAGTGAAAATTGTAACATTAGAAAATAAGTTTAATCCAAAATCATGAGTGCTTTCATGAACGAGATACACTGTGAACTCTAAAGTGTCTAAGAGTAAATAACTTAGATGTGTAAGGAAACACAACTCAACTCTGCTATTCATCCTAAGCCTTAAAATCAACAGAGTGAAATATTCTATAAGCACTCTAATGGTAGACATAGAGTTCTGTCATTCTCAGGAACCCAGAGACAGTTCAGGAAACTAAGAGAGAGGAGATCTCAATGGTCAATTCAGAGAGCACAGCATTAGAAGAAATTCTCTTAGGAGCTGGGGCCACACTGCATTCAAAAGTCTACCTCCAGCACTGAAGGCACAAGCCAGCAGGGGACAGGTATTCAAATGTTCATTAAGTAAAAGAATTAAAAAACCAAGGAGCTCAGCTGTGGCACTGGTTCAAAGCAGAGGCACTGTAAGGATCAAAACTAGACCTGCAGCTACCACACTTCCCCACTCCCTCGTTCAATTTCCAGAGAACTTCTTGTGCTGAGAACCACATCAGGTATGGTGAGGCGGCAGGTGAGCATACATGTGACATATAACCTAAAAATAGAGTCAGCACAGGTAGAACATACTGGGAAGAAGCTCAACACAGAGTTGGGAACCTAAGTGTGGAGTCAAGGAGACCAGAGTTGAGACCTTAGCTCCAACCCTCCAGACCATCTCAGACTGCCCTTCCCCTGTGTACGAGGAGACCACCAGCCACCTAAGCTGGGAGGGCGGAAAATGAAGTGAGAAAAAATCACTAGAGCACACTGCACACACTAGGTGCTCAACAAACAGCAGTCACCACTACTCTCATTATTAATGTGACCAACAAGACCAGGTGGGACGTAAAAATCTTCCTCTCGAACTCTTCAATGTGCCCAGAGCTGGAGGGGCCTCATAAACACGGCTCCAGAGCAATTTAAACAGAGAACGGGCTGGGTCCCCAGGTGCCCCGGCCTCACAGGCTACTGACACAGGAACTAAAGCTGATATTTACCCAACATTTCTCACCAATTTGGGGAGGTATAGTGTAAACTACACAATGGAGAACACTGGCAAGAGAGAAAATTTACGGAGTCTGACTAGAAAGGTACAAGTTATAGGAAAATTCAAACTGCAAATTACATAAAAAAGGCTTTCACGGTTCTTGAAAAAGTTCTCATGGAGGAAAGAAAAAAGACCCAAATAAAAACCACCAAGCCTCTCCTTCACTGTCACACAAATGCATACAAGGATTTGTATTTCTGCACGATGAAAGCATTTGCTTAAAACTTGCAATAAAAATGCCGATAAAACAGATTCCTGAAAAACACTCTCAGGGTTTGTTCACCACTGTTTATCAAATGCTGACTGAAGTCCACTGAGCATTAATTGAGATAAATTACATTAAATGAATTTTCCCAATGAATTCTAGCACTTGTGTCCCTGTGCAGTGTCTGGTACTCCTGACCTGGATGACAATTTTCAGAAGCACAGTATCTTTAACTGAGCTTTACAGTTCAACACTATCCATTTAAATTAGTCTTTCACAATCATTTTAATTGATGTTAACAATTTTGTCTTAATACCTATAAACAATATTTCATGACATGCCAAACTAGTACAGACATTGTGGGCTCTTTCTCCAAACATAATTTCATTAAGTATAAAATCTAAATTCTGCATTAGAAAAATCTAGTGTCCATCATAATACCACATGAAATTTCAGAGATTTATCCAAATAAAAGTACCATTTCAAAAAGTAACTGTGTTTCCCAAATATCTTCAGTAATATGATCAGGGAAAATAATTCACATGTTTTTCTTCATAGCATTAAGGATAGTTTCAGAATACAATAAAATCTGGATTTACCAGCACTAAGAAGTCTGTTACTCTCACATTCACAGCATGACAACTAGATGAGCCATTACTAAAACAATCCTCAAAGAGCCGGCACCAGAGAGAGGAGCCAAAAACAAGGTCCCCAGGTATTAAATTGCAAAAACGTGTCCCCATCCAGGGAAACCATGAAAGAATGCTGTCCCTCCAAGGAGACAGCAGGCCCTAACGTGAGATACCTCAACACCTTCTGCAGCAAGGACACGTGTGAGAGAAACCAGTGGGTGGAATCACAGCACACCAGGCTGGTAAGAACAATGACGTGGTAAACGCCACCGAAACATGCAAGGACACTGAGACAGTGAAGGAGGGGGTCGAGGGCAGGAAGCCAACACTGGAAAAGACAGCTATTACTTTTGCATTTGCCATGAGATTTATATCAAGACACTTTCCCTTCACCAGGACATCAGGATGCTACACATGCCATAGCTTAGCTTTTAGGAGAAAACGACTAACGGTGAGAAAAGTGAGCATGAGAGATCTGCTGGTAAAAGCAAGAAGCAGGCCTAATAATGCGTATGGACTTAGTGCAAAACCACCTCATACAAAATAATAATAAGTATTCAATATGCACCAGCAACACGATACATATGTATCTGATTTATGCACGTGACAACGAAATCTTTTGACCTTCTTCACAGCAGCCATGCATGCTAAATATACATCTCCATCAGCATCACCCCATTTTACAGATGAGAAAATGCAGGCACAGAAAGACTAAGTTACTTGCACAAGGCCACATATATAGTAAGTTCAACAGAAAAGCACATAAAAATAACTAATAATTATGACTTTATGATCTAGTGTTTAAACTATGATTATTGTACCATTTACTAAAGAAGGAAAATATAATAGTTTTATATATCTTTGTGTTAAAATGGTTAAAACTAAAAACCCTCAAAAGGTTAGCTATCAAATCATCCAGGAAATTTTGTTAACTAGAATATCATTCCCTAACCGTTACAGATAACCAAGTTATGAGGAACCTAAATTTAGACCTAATCATAAATGGGATAAACCTATTCTTTTCCTATTCTATGGTGATCCAGAATGAAAGAAAAGTCTTTAAGATGCAATCAAATTAAAATACACTGGCAGGATTTTTTAATTACAAAAATAATGCCAACTAGTATTTACATAAATGATGTTCTCACCCAAAAGTTCTGAATTAGTACTTACCCATTTTTGGTGGGAGTTTTAGACCAGGCCATAAAAACTGGTGTCACACCACACAAATCTAAGGTTGACAATGTGGCTAGAAGTGGCCAATTTTTGCCATACCACACAATCGTAACTGATGAATCGTTTATGGAAAAATCAACATGCTCCATGACGTATTCTTTTCCACTTTTTTCTTTCAATATAATTACCCAACCTAAATCAGATTTTCTGGAGAAAGAGAAGCAAGCTAAAAATGTTTGCCTCGTTGCAAAAAAAAAAAAAAAAAAGTGCTCAAGTCTATTTCCCATATCATCTCTAAAGCGTCTAGTTCCCTAAAAGCCAGAGTTCTCAGAATGCGCTCAACATAAATTTTCCTTTCACCAACAGTTCTCTCTCCAGATTTTTCTCCTCACCTAACAAACATTCGTGGAACATCTACCACGTTCTAGGTATTGGCAATATACAGATAAGCAAGCCAAAGGTTCTGCCCAGAGGGAGAGATGCCTTGAATGCTCTTGCTTTACTAGAGCAAATTACTAGGTTATTTCTGCTTTTCATAAACCCTTTGGACCATATATATGGAATGGGAAAATACTATATATTTTATAGATATACAAAAACACACATAAATATCAAACAGTCCCTCACAATATAAACTGCACGTACATCCTATACACAATACTTTAAGCTTATACTATCATTCTTTTTTAAAGTGTTTGTATATTTAAACGTCTAACACTAACATTGAACGTCAAATAACCACTCTGCTCCCTCTTTTAGAAGCCACTGCGGGGGCTGGCCCCGTGGCTGAGCGGTTGAAGTTCCACGCACTCGGCTTCGGCAGCCCGGGTTTGCAGATTCAGATCCTGGGCGCAGACCTACTCCACTCATCAGCCATGCTGTGGCGGCATCCCACATACAAAATAGAAGAAGACTGGCACAGATGTTAGCTCAGGGACAATCTTCCTCAAGCAAAAAAAGAGGAGGATTGGCAATGGATGTTAGCTCAGGGCGAATCTTCCTCACCAAAAAAAAAAATGAAGCCACTGCATACCTGAGGATCATTTTGGTTTTAACCGGAAAGCCTGTGTAAGGGTTGACAGGTTTGAGAACCTGAGTTAGTGCTGCTTTTACAGATGCTATTTGTTTTGTAATATATTCTTTCTTCCAATATCCAGCTTCTTTATCCTCAACTGACAGTAAGTTCATAGACATGGCTGTCTTCTCTACTGAATTAACTTTCCAGTTAGATCTTTTAGGTGAAAAGGCAGTTGAGTAGAGTCTGATCCAAATAAAACTGGGGGAAAAGAGGAAATACGTTAACTGTCTAAGAGACATTGTCATGTACCTGTAGTAGTAATATATTAAATTAAAGACGCACAGTAATTTTTAAATAGTCTAATTCCATGAATAAGTCAAGCTGTTTCGACTTCTAATTCCATTTTCAGTTGTTCATGTGTTAAGGTGAATGTAGTCTGAGATAAGTGTTTTAGATTCATCAACCCCAGAAACACAGACTAAAACGAAAAGCTCGTTTTCCAAGGTCAAGTTAACATGAGTGATGTCATGTTATGTGGGATCATCCAAACTACTGCCTTCCTACACCAATAATTGAATAGGAGATCTACTACAGAAAAAGTATATAGAAGAAGTGCATCTGAGGGATTCCTACCTTATTTTAAATATATACATGTTTTTAAAAAGATCAGAAAGGAGATATATATATATCTCTACATATATATATGTGTGTAGAGATATATACACATACACACACACAGAGAAATGTCAACAATAACTGAATTGTATGCTCTTTTTGCTTTGCGTATTTTAATTTTTCAATAATGAACAGGTACTGCTTGCACAAAGAAAAAAATGACGGTTATGAATAACAACGAATAATGACAGTTAACACTTGTGGAGCACTATGTATTAGGCACTGTTCCAGCACTTCATACATTAACCCATTTAATCCTCACAATGAACCCACGAGGTAGCTACTATTATTGCCCCCAGTGAACAGATGATGTAACTGAGTCCCAGATGCAAAGCCATCTGGCCCAGCTCTGTGTATGGATGTGGCAGAACTGGGATTGAACGCATGCAGCCTCAACCAGAGCTCACAGTCTCATCCCCTGTATTTCACTGCCTTGACAACAACATAAAGAAGTGGGCTCAAAGAAACAATAATTTTATCCAAATTCAGAGAACAATGTTGGAATTCAAATTCAGCTCTGACCCAGTCTGTGATCTTCCCACTGGCCACTGAGAGGCCCACAGGAAGTCACACGGGCAGCAGCAGTTAACGGGGGCCAAAGCTGAGCCCAGAGCATCTCTCTCCCAGCCAGTGCTCTCCAGGGAAGAGAAGTCAACTTCTCTTGGGGGAAACTGAGGCAGGGGTTAAAATCAGTTTCCTAATGCAAAAGGTGATTTTTACATAAATAAACTTAATTATTTGCTAACATATCTCCACGTTTCTATTTAGTGCTGTAAGGGATGAAATGGCCAAGAGGCAGCTGGAAAAAGGTGAATGCCCTATAGAAGGGGAAGATCCTGAATTGCAGGAGGTCCACGGGAGATGCCACAGAGTCTCTGGAGGGTAGTAACTGTTTCAGTCATCTAGTAACAATCGCAGCGGAAAAGGAACATTTCTCAAACATACGACTTGGGAATACGTCTCCTTGACCCAGGCATTACATGGACTTCCACCAATCACATATTACCTGACCCCTATTGACATCTCTTCTAGGATGAGTCTTCAGGTCATTTCTCATCCCACAAAATCATTTAACTATACCATGCTTTTTGACTTAAATTATTTATGTTTTCAGTTCAGATATTTCTGGGCTTTCACATGTGAGCTAACAGATGCAAAAAGATGATTAGTTGAGTACAACTGGGTAATGAAACTATTTCACCAAAATCTCTTGAACAGACTTTTAAAAACTCCCTTTGCATAAAAGCTTGTTCATGTTTTCTTCGAATTTATTTTACTCATCATTTCACTCCACGTAAGTGATCCTTTGCTTTAGCAAGATCTTCACCGAACCTCAAATTTCTCACATCAGCACTACATGAACTGTGGCTGATTCTGCTTTTCACGTGCTCTAGCACTCACAGACTATAAAAACAAACATTGCCGTGGAGAAGGGAAGCAGAGCATGAAGCTCCCACATCTTCAGTTATAATAACTACACCTAACATTTGTATGAAGAACCACTTTCACACACGTTATCTCACTGAATTTACTGTACGTGGAGCCTAAAGAGAATGAAAACATCTTAGAATTAAACTGTTGTGCTGATTGTTCCCCTTGATCATTTATAAAATACAAATGTAAAGTCTAAGATGCTTTTAACAGTCTCCAAAACCCACACATTCATTTCTTGATCCCCAAATGCTCTGATCTGTTAAAAAGCGAAGGCGGTTTGAGGACAAGAGGGTATTTATCTAATCTATCAGCCAGGCACAGAAAAACTTCAATCAAACGAGGTATTCAGAAAATGGGGCCGATTTAATGTTCTGATAGACAGGGTTTCCCAGAGCGCTGGAAAATAAAAACCCCACGTGATGATCCAGGTCCAGCCTGATTCTGGTTCCCTGTCATCCCCACGTAGACACCATGCTCGTGCTGAGGGCTGTAACACACACCGCAGGGAGGCAGCTCCACTGATGTAAGGGGGAGGGGGGCGCCAAGGAGACCCCCGCCCTTCCAATGTGCCTCCTCATAAGTCATCAGTGTAACCGACTCCAGGGCATGCTCCTGTCCTCTCTTCAGAAGCAATGCTTAGAAAATACCACTAGCTTCTCAAAATCATTTACAGTTTACCCATTTGCTTGTTAATACATCCTTTTATGAAAACAGACTATGACTCTCAAAAATACAATTCAACTTAGACAATTATGATTTATCCTGTGAAAAAGAAAACAAACATGAATGTAATTTCATCAGAAGCTCAGATATTTAAAGGACAACATCCAAGAAAGTGAGGTGGATACATAACTACTAGTAAAAGTATGCAAAGACTATTACTAGAAGTATGGCCCCAAATCCACAGACAGGCCCAGAGCCTGCACCCTATGGGCCTACGAACTTAAGTGGAGAGAAGTGACATTTAGAGAAACTAAGAAATCTATAACTTATCAGCTTACCTAAGTAATCTGAGTTCTACCCTTAAACAAAGTAAGAACTCTCCAAAAAGCTACAGTTTTGGACATTTAGTGGACCCCTTCCTTCAAAAATGCCTCACTGCACTTTGCTTGAGCAAGTGCCTTCATCTCTTCTGAAGGTCATCCAGAAAGAGACACAGACAAATTGCTCCATATTCATTCTAGAACCTTTGTCAGGAACCTCGTTCATTATTTCACTCACTGGTATGTGTGTGTGCACTGACATAGATAGACAGACAGACATTCTCCCATACAGGAAACATCCTTCTAAAGTAAAAGATAAGAAAAACCACCCTTCCCAACCAGAGAATGGTATATGTCCCCTTCTGATTACAAGAACTTGACTGTCATTAGTATGATCTGGAGAAATTTTTAAGACACAGATTCCAAGGCACAGAATTAATTAAAATCTCCAGAAATGCAGGCCAGGGATCCAGATTTGTTTTACTTTCCCAGCTGGTTCTACTGCAGTCATTCTGTGGACTGGCATTTGAGAACCACAGCACCGGATAATGTTTCCCACCCACTGTGTTCCAAGATTAAACAACATTACCGCCCTTCCTGTCATTCTCCATGTCCTCATCTATTAAACAAACCACCAGCAAAATCTGCATCCTCACTTATCCTGACTTTTCCCTGGCTGACATGTGGGGTCTGTGTGGGTCAACATCTCTCTGATCTTCCGATGCTGAAGGAGAGAGGGACCTACAAGCCAAGATGTCTGGCTGTAAGCCACAAAACGCTCACCAGAAGCTAGGAGGATTCCACCATCTCACCCTCCATGATAAAATTCTGAGTTGCAGACAAAGATCATAGCGACAACACAGAGGAAGGGGTTTCGTTCCTTTTTCATAGACGCCCTACTAGCCCAGGTGAGCTGGGTGCACCTCATCTCCGCAGGTTTCCTGCCCCCAGGGGTAAAGCCTCCGTGAGAGCACTCTCGGCCTCTCTCCACCCCCTTCACCCTCCCCACCCAGCAAGGTGCGAGGGTTGGCAAGTATGGGTTCTCCCCAAATATACCTCAGGGAGCCCATCCTCTTCCTTCTTCAGGATCTGCTTGACTGCCAGCAGAGCAGTTTGCCTGCTCTGCAAAGCCAGGGTTAGTCCGGGGCAGGTTCCCACAGTCTGCTTGAGACTGTGTAGCTAAGTTTGTCTGCCTCTGAGGGACACAGCAAGTCTTCCTGACCAACAGACCGAAAGCCACCTTCTCCAAGAGCAACACCAATAACAAGTTTGACCTTTCTCAGTTCATGCAAAGGATATTCCTTTCTTCAAGCATATAAATGCAAATCTTTGAAAATATCATATGACTACTTAAATCATTAGATGTATTATGTCTATGTCTAAAAATACTCTTGAAATTATTTTAAATTTTAAAAAATGGTTAAAAAGCTCTTACTAGTTTTCATGACTTCCATAAAATGCCATCAAAACATGACAGAGAGACTTGGTTTTCTCCTTACTTGTCACTGGCCAGATGATAAAAGCGTCTGCTCACACACCCAGCACACAGCAGGGTCACAGCATCCAAGTAGGAAAAGATCTTCAGCAGGATTTCTGAAGGCATACTGAGAGAGGGGAGAAATCAGAGAAGTACTCTACAAGTTACCCAGAAAACTGGCTGTTCATCTTCAAACAGAAAGCGATAAACAGACTCTTCCTGTATAAGAGGCAAACTGCACCCTCATCTTCAATTATTTTCTCAATGGACATGCTCTGGTTATTACAATTCTCATGACATAAACCAATACGGAAACCAAGGGTACACAGAGCTAATTTCCTCGGCATTTTAATCACATTCTCATATTGTGAATCAATGGGCAGGATTTCACTGCCTCCCTCATGAAAGTATGTATTCTTTGGAGAGATAAATGCAAATAACAGAAGAGACAGAGAATGCATTCTTAGCTATTAATAAGCAAAACACAGAACTCCCCTCCAAAAAAAAAACCAAAAACCGTATAGGAATAGGAAGTATCAACTTATGTTCACCTAACCTATGCCACTCTCATGCACCCTCCTCCTGCACGTCCTCACACTTGTGACTGCTCCTCTGGGGCTTCAAGGAGAAACCAGGCCCCCTCTAGCTCCCGTTCTCCCTCTCTCAGCAGTACTTAACTGACCGCTCCCTGTTTTACAGTGATCTTCTCTTCTGGTTCACAAACACCCCCTCCTCAGATTCTTGGATCTCACCGGTCTTTCCTGCCTCCTTGGTCGGTTCTAAATGCTCCAGTTCCTCCCAGCTTGCCTCTGAGCTCCTTTGCTTCCGTGTCTGTGCCCTCTCCCCAAGACATCCCACCCCATTTCCGTGGCTGGGACTCCTCCCAGACCTCACTCTGATCTAGACTCACATACCCGCTGTCCCTTCGGCATCCTCATTTCACGTGTCCTAGGCATCTCAGTTCTAACTCTCCCTCCTGCCCCCAACCCCAAGGCTTTTCCATCCCAAGAAGCAGCAGCTCCACTTACACATCTGCTCAAGCCAACAGTGTCAGATGCCTGCCTCATGTCTCTCTGCCTCTCACACCTACATCTAACTCATAAACGAGTCACGCCAGTTACGCTCCCAAATATACCTCAGATTTACCTCTTTTGCTCCATCTTCCCTCCTTCGAAAGAAGGGAGACAGGTAAACAAGTAAACAAGATAATTTTAGAAATCCAATGACATCACACCTCTGTGCTTAAAATCACCATACTGTGAATAAAGGCCAAACTCCTCCCCACAGCCTATGAGGCCCGGCCTGATCCGGGCCGCCTCTCCCTCTCCTCACTCTCTGCCCACTGCCCAGAGCCCATCGCTCCTCCAGCATGGCAAGCTTCTGCATTTCTATCACTTGGCTTCCCCTCTCTGTATCCCCTTCTCCAAGTTCTCTAATCTCAATTTTCAGTTCTCAGCTTAAATGTCACCTCCTCAGAGAAGTCTTTCCTTACCATCCTACCCTTTATTCTGGATTACGAGTCCATTTGTATTCTCGATAGCTCATATCCCAATTTATAATGCGTTACGTTTTTTCACCTGTCTCCCCCATTAGACCGTAAGCCTCAGGAGAACACACGTGAGTGGCTCACCATTTGTGTCCCAGCTCCAAGCACAGTATCTGGGACAGAGAAGGTCCTCAAATATTTGATGGATGGATTAACTGAATGAATATCTGTTCTATTTCTCCTATCAGATTACTGTTTGACAGATTCTATTCCCAGAGCACAGAGTTTAAAGCTTAAATTGATGTCTTTAATTAAATCTTTCTTTTTTGGCTTTTCATTTCTTTCTAAAAATACACTGAAAGTATGTACACCTTTAGCTGAGATAGTTTATGATATAGTATTAAAAGCCCAAAACTTGAAATCAGGCAATTTACATTTGAATTTGAATTTTGCAATATGTAGACCACGTGAGCCTTATTCCCTCCACTCCCTCCATTGTCTATCTACAATAACGCCCAGCCCTCAGGGCTCCACACAACACTTGGCATGCAGCTGATGTTCCATAAATGTTAGCACAGTATAAATCCACAGGCATTTCAGCATTAATTTCAAGTAATAGTTTTTTTTTTTTTTGTGAGGAGGACCAGCCCTGAGCTAACCTCCAATGCCAATCCTCCTCTTTTTTGCTGAGGAAGACTGGCCCTGGGCTAACATCCATGCCCATCTTCTTCTATTTTATATGGGACGCCGCCACAGCATGGATTAACAAGCGGTGCGTCGGTGCGCACCCGGGATCCGAACCGGCGAACCCCGGGCCGCCGCAGCGGAACGTGCGCACTTAACCACTTGCGCCACCGGGCCGGCCCCTTAAGTAATAGTTTTTTAAAGAAGAGATTCTACAGGTCTTGATGCTGAGGTCACAGTATAGAATCTTGCCATGGCAGAAATGGGTTCCCAAAACACTGACAGCTAAGAAATTCAGACCTTTCGAGCTTTTAGAAAACACACATAAATCTTCTTTCTCCTTTTTCAAGGGTCTTTATCAACTAGAAAGTGAATAATTTTGAAAAACATTTTTAAAAAAGGAAAATTAAATTTACTTGTCACTTTTAGAAATTCAGCTTTATAAAATTAGTCTAATAATGGTAGTGGTGACAGGCTGATGACTCATATCAAACTCTCCGTGTTGTACATTCTTCCTACACAATTCTATTCTTAGAGAGCTCAAAATAGCAACTTGGTACATACAGCATTATAACTTTCTCTAATAACTCCATCCCTAGAGCCCCCCAAACGAGTGGCAGACTGCTTCTGCTCCTTACCAATCCAGAGACACAGAACAGGTAGCGGAGCGTTTCTCACAGTGGTTTTTCCGTCTGGCATATGGCCTCATAGTAGTACTGCCTGCAGCATGTGTGACACCTGGCCCCTTCCTGAAAGTAAACGTGGAAAATTCAAATTATAATGAAGGGTGAACAGTCCACTCCCCCCTACAAAATTTTAAAGGATTCATAAACTCCAAAGATTACTCGCTGTAAAACTTCATCTCTGCAAAGAAAGAAAGAAAGGGAGGGAGGGAATGAAGGAGGGAGGGACTGTGAAACATGCAGTGTCCTGAGTAAGTAAATCTGAAAACTGGACTTACTCTGACGTGTTTTAAACCTAAGATTCAATACTTGCTCTTATTATAGCATATCACAGAGGAGCTGTGTTTAATGGACAATGTGTTTAATGGAACAATGTGTTTAATGGAAACAAAAAGGATCAAGAAGTTTGGCTAGTTTCATTAATACAACAACAGAAACCTAATAAAGATAGCATCAATAGAGTTAAAAAAAAAAAAACCTTTAGACGTGTTAGCCAGAACTGCCAACACACTACAACTCTGCTGACCTTGGAGGGGTAAGACTGGGTCCAACTCTAGCCTTGGCAGTCACAGCCACAGAAGTACCAAATACTCACCCACAAGTTTTTTCACATTTAACATCTCACATTCAATGGAATATATTTTAATTGGCCATCTTTTTTCATTTTAGTGGTACACAGAATAATAGTAAATCTTATAATTAATGGCTCTTAAGATTCAATGAAATAGGGTATAATATTTTATGCAGTTAGTCCTTTTCAGAAGTTCCTAAAATAAGTTCTTATTAAAATCAGTCCTCAAAACCAGTAGTACTCAACGGCAGCTTGCTGGGATCTGAAACACCCCGAAAGTCATCACAGCCTCCCATTTCCAGGCAGCAGCCCACACAGAAAGCTCCTGGTGTATATGCTATTTCTCTTGGAAAGGTCTGAAAGCTGCTTCTTTACCACACACACACATCAATTATTGACCCACCTCCCACCCAGCATGCTACTGAAGCAAATGATACCTAGAGTACACATAATCCATATGCTAAGTCCGCCAATGCCATCGCTCTGAGCATGTACTTTGTTCACCAAGAGTTTAACTACCTCTGTTTTTCCTACCAAGCTAATTCCCTGGATATACTTGGACTAACACTCAAAAAGGATATGGGCAACAACTGTGGGTAAAATGAGGCATCCCAAGAACAGGAAGGGCGACAGTCTCCCTGGAAGAATGAAAGCCACATGGACAGGTCTGAACAGAGGATGGCCCTGGACCCCGAGTACAACCTGCTCTTAGGAGGCACGGGGAGTGTATTGCCCATAGCCCCAGTGTAGCCTGCTCCCTGCTGCGGAGACAGGCACACCAAGATGTACACAACTCAGCTAGCACTCCAATCACTTCATGAGTCCCCATATGCTTCTGAGCAGCCAGAGAATGAGTTTCTCTTCCCTTGATAGATTTTTCTCTTTGGAAACAAATAATGGCTGGCACATGGCAAGTCCTCAATAAACATTAGCTATCATCTGCATGCTAGCAACTCAACCTAGGAGAGATTGAATACAGTAATCCTTTCCAGATCCTGAAGGATAACAAATTCACCAAGGTAAAAAATGCTGGCTACCCATGCCTCTCCATTCCAGCTTCAGCAAAAGTCACTCAGTGTGCTTTTTGTCTTATCTTTCTAGCCAATGCGTACTTGGGAAATGCAAAGCAGTGAGGCTGAACCAGTGGTTTTCAATCTGTGCTCCCAGAACAGAAGGGAGAGGGTGAGAGGGCAGGAAGAGATGCTAATTTGGAAAGCTTTGCAATGCACTCTCCCCCTTTAATCAGATAATTCTACTTGTACAATAAATTTTTGTACTACCATTGAAAATTTTGTTTAAGCAAAGATATCCACAACACAAAAGCTTCAGCTCCATTGACCTGGTTCTAATACAGCAATCAGAGGTAAAATACAATTTCCTAATTGTATTAGTTTCCTAGGGCTGCCTCAACAAAGTACCTCAAACTAGGGGGCTTAAAACAACAGAAATTTATTGTCTCACAGTTCTAGAGGCCAAAAGTCCAAAATCAAGGTGTTGGGAGGACCATGCTCCCTCTGAAGGTTCTAGGGAAGAATCTTTTCTTGCCTCTTCCAGCTTCTGGTGGTTGCCGACAATCCTTGGTGTTCCTTAGCTTGTGGCAACTAAGCTAACTCTAACCTCTGTTCCATCTTTACATAGCCGTCTTCCCTCTGTATGTGTGTATGTGTTACATCTGTGTGTCTCTTCTTATAAGGACATCAGTCATTTTCCCTTTAGGACCCACCCTAATCCAGTGTGACCTCATCTTAATTAATTACATCTTCAAAGACCTTATTTCCAAATAAAGTCACATCCTGAGGTTCTGGGTAGACATGAATTGGTGGGAGGAGAAGAAGGCACTATTCAACACAATACAGAATTTTTAAAAGTATACATTTTAAAATGATTTAAAAGCATTCCTTATTTTAAGTGGTTAACTGTTCTTGTAAATTCTATACTGACCTTTATTACATATTCAAAGAAAAAATATCTTCAGTTAACAAAGGTTTCTAATGCTTAAGCTTTAAGTAAAAGGAATTTGTGTTACTCCTCCACCAAATAATAATAATATCTACTCAGAGTTCTCAACTAGTGACCCTTAGACCTCTGCAAGTGTAAAGGCTCATGACAAGAAGTCTGGGAGTCCATACACACACTTGGAAAACTGAGAAATGTCTTTCAGTAATAGATACTATTGCTTTTTTAACTTAAATGAATACTGCTGTGGTTAACCAAATATAGATTTGTTTAAAAAAGCATTAGTAAACTCATAAGAGCTTTTTGTCATTACATATTTCCTCAATCAAAAGATGCCCCAAAAGTAAAAACTATTACCCTAGGCCTTTCCAAGGGAACTGAAGATAAGTAAATTAATATGATGTATCAATCAGTTTCAATCTAGCAAATTGGCAAAGACCAAATAAACGATAAGGACAGGTGCTGGCTATGCTGCCAACAGGCTTCTCATTCACTCAGCTAGCAGCATAAATTGGTGCCAACGGTATGGAAAGCCAACTGGTAGTGTATATCAAGATCTTTAAGAGACACATATTTTTTTTAAGCCAGGAATTTCACTTCTAGAAATATATCCCAAGGCAAGAAAGTGAGCCCAAAGACCTCACTCAAGAACATCCAACTCAAAGTCATCTGCACTGCAAAAGATACTAGAAACGGTATACAGTTTGGTTCAACTGCATGGCCTCCATACAGTTAACAACGTTCAGCCAATTAAAATGGACAGTTTCAACACAGGCAAAAGCATCTGAGAGAGAAATAAGTTCACGATGTCTTCCAGATGTCTGCATGGCTTGCTCCCTTACCTCCTTTAGGTATTCACGCAAACGTCACCCTCTCACTGAGAACTTCTTTGGCTGTGCACTCTAAAACTCCAATCCACACTCTACACACACACACTTTATGCCCCTTCCCTATTTTTTTTCCTTAGCACATATCACCATCCAACACTACGCATTTCACTTATCTACCTTCTTACCTATCTTTGGGACACGAGATCCATATTGGCAGGTCTTTTGCGTGAGTTTTGGTCACTGCTGATTCTTCAGCATCCACAAAATGCCTGGCGTGCAGAAAGCATTCAATAAATAGCTGCTAAATTAATAACATAACTGAAAAAGCAGGTTATATCAGTATATGCTACATAATCTTATTTTTGTATTTCTCTCTTAAGAGAAAAAGTAAGCACATACATACAAAGAAAAGAGGTCCAGAAGCAAGTCAACAAGGTATTAACTGATAATACACCTGATTCACAGGATTACAAGGTTACAAGGTTTTTTTGTTGGTGGTTGTTTTTACATGAGGGCTAAAAGATCGAAGGGACAGAACAAATATTTTCTAATATTTCTTAATATATTGAATATGTAATAAATTGTGGGGGTTTTCTGTTTTAATTTCAAAACTCAGAATCCCATACACAAGGTTTGGAATCACCGTTTCATAGCACAATCCTTTAGGCTCAAGCTGTGGTCCTCAAAGACATTCGCAGCATTCTGGGGCACCAGGTCCCTCAAAATCTGGGGCACAGTCTACAGAAAGCTCTAAACTTCTTTGAAGTCTCTTATTTGATCTTAAAAAATTAATGCAGATGTTGCATTCCACTGGATAACTTATCTGTGTTTGTCTTATTATAAAAATGTATTATATTACTTACCAGTTAAATTATTTAACGTTTTTCCCCAAAGGCACTGCATTAATTTTACATGTCGGGAGGATGCCCCATGGGGAGCATGGGGAGCAGGGGAGGATCCCCTGCCCACTGGCACCTATCCATTTGAGAGTGCAGCCTATTTGTTGTTGTTTTGTTTTCCCATAATGAAAATAGATCTCATGAGTCCCTCATTTCATATATCAGAAGGCTAAGGCTCTAATGAGGCAATTACAGTGACTTGTTTAAGGTCTCAAGCTAGAGACTGAGAGTCCCAGAGACCTTCATCTCCTGACACTCCTTCAAAAGCTCTTTCTACCGTACTATTATATTATGTATCTCATCAGTATGGCTTTTGGTACAATTGAAAACAAATCTCCATTTCTCCATAAAATAAACACACTGCATGTTTTTAAGGGTCACACAATTCACAAATAGGTAAGTTACATGCATGTCCTCATGTCAATCTGTATGTCTACACAGTTAAGTGTACATTTAGCTGACATGATTAGTAAGATGACATTCAGTTTAAACACACTTTTTTTTCAAGTGACAGATTTTGCCTGATAGCTTTGAATAAGTTCAATATTTTAAAAATCTACTCTCTGGGCCTGATTTTTAATATCTGGCAAATCAAAGAAATTAGACTAAGTAGAAATTAAGCCAACTTGATATGCCTTCTACTATATTTCTTACAGTTTACGATATTTCTACATATTCACATTATGTGTTAAAAAGGGAACCACTGATTCCTTATTAAAATCTAATGTTTCTGAATTGAGAATTAAAAATAACTACCTACTTAGACATAATCAATCTTTCTTAGCAACTGACTTTTCTTTACCAAAAAGAATGTATGCATCACCAAATCACAGGATGACGTGCAGGCTCCCATGCCAGGCACACAATGATAGGCACTCTAATTACATCATTTCACCAGGAAGTTCTCTCAACTTATAAAGTAATAAAAGACTCATCATAAAAATCATTCTGCTTCCCACTAACAGAGCACTAAAGGCTAATTTTAGTAATAGTGGCAAATTGACTTAAAGTTCAAGCTTCCTATTTAAATTCCAGTCTTTCTCAGCTACATAATAGAAATTTTGCAGGCACTGTCACCATTTTACTTGTCACAAGGCTTGTGGTATATCTAGCATTACAGCTATTCTCAAGAACCAACCATTATCATAATACGGAGGGTCAGGGCCCTGCTTCTGAAACCAGAGTAGGTGGGGTAAATGACCCTTGGATGAACACCAGACATAGTTCTGGAGTTTCAGGAAAACAAAAAATAATTTAAGTAGTTGAAGTGGTATGTAACATATTCCTTTTTCATGCTTAAACATTTAGTTTATTAGAAGGGATAATATGCACGACTTTTTCTATCTATAAACCAAGAAGACTTATAAGCAAAAGGAAAATCCTCGAGAATGCAAACTGTCCTTAGCATTATTCCTCCACCTAGTAAATTAACTGGAATCATAGGTACAGAACTAGCAACAACCCACGAGAAAACGAGAGGGATTTAATAAGGAACCATAGCACGTTGATCCTTCTGATGAACTACATCTTTGACTTTGGGAAATGAGCCATTCCCCTTTGAGGTAAGCTGAAGATCCTTTTGGAAAGCAGCTGCATCCTCCTGCTCCTGGCCCCTTCCCCATCTCACTCCTCAAAGTTGCCTTCTCTCGCTGCAGAAGAGGACTACCCTTCAGTTCCAGGGCGCCCCAAGAGAAACAGAGGAGAGACGTCTCTACACACCAGAACAAGATCACCACACGCCCTGGCACTTAAGACAGGAAGATGGGCAGAACAGGAGTAGGAGTTGAGCACCAAGGGGTAGCTATCTAGAAGGCATCCCTCCAGGGTTTGCTTAAACACACAGACTTATCCTTGACGTCGGAGATGCAGAAACTGCTGCCCCAGGAGACGCTCCCAGACCAACCTGCCTTCTAGAGGTATCAGCTTAGGGCTGGTGTGTCCTCCCTTCACGCTTCGTGGGCGGGAGAGAAAATCGATAAGGTTTTGACGAGCTGATTCTACTTCTCTAACTTATAAAGTCACAAAAAGGACGAAAGGTGATTCCCGGTCCCACAGCAGGGAAGCAACTTCGGGGGCGCGCTCTGGAGGGCTGCCCGCTCGGCGCCCGCAGGCGGAGAGCGGTGACCGTCCCTGCCTTCACACGTGGCGCGCATTCACCCGCGGGTGCCCGGGGGCGCCGCCCCAGGGTCAGGGGCTTAGCACGTTCCCAGCGCCCCACAGCGCCTGTTCACTGAGCCAACGGAGGAGGGGGATTTCCCGGGGACGCCACTCCTTGTATCATGAGTCGGGGTAACCCCACGTGCCAGGCTGAAGAGACCTTTCCCCGCACTAAAGAGAGCCGCGCTCCGCGCCGGAGCGGGACGAACGAAAATAAAGGGAAAGGGGCGGGGGAGGAGGGCGGACTGAACGGTTCCCTCGCGGGGATCCCTGGGCGCGACCCCCCAACCATCACCCGAACCTGGCGCGTCCGGGGGCCCAGCCCACGGCGCCGAGCCGCAGACCCGACGCCTGGAGGCCGCTCCAGTGCAGCTGCGAGAGCCGGCCGCGTCCGGTCGCCATGGAGACCTGGCGGCGACGCCCCGAAGGCGCAACGACAGGAGGGAGGAGCGCGCCGGGCCGCGCCGCGCCCAATCGACGCTGGCGCGCTCCGAGACGCGCGTGCGCAGAAGCGGAGCGGGGTCGGGGGGGACGGGCCGAGGACGATACGGCTTTCCACCGCTTCAAGAGCGGTTCTAGAAACTTCTGGAGGCAGGCTTCCTCCCACGCTCGACGCCGCGTGGCAAGTAGTCCGCTCGCAGTTTAAGACAGCGCGTGGGCGTTGTGGCGTCCTCCTCCTTCCCCACTTGCCGGCTCTCTGGTAGTTCACACTCCCTGTCTGGTTTCCTGGGGAAGAAACTGAAACGCAAAGGCTACATCGTTTGCCACTAAGGAACGGCAAAGCCACAATGAGACCGAAAATTTCCCAGTTTACACAGTCCTCTCTAGAGGGTCAAAAGAACACGCAGTTTGTAGTTGCTAATTTGGTTTTTGGAAGTTCTTCTTGAACTACCAGCGCCTGTGCCACGTATCCCCCACGAACGCGGCTCCGCCTTCCTACCGGGCCACGTACGGGCAGCGCATGCGCAGGCGGCCCGCGCAGGGGAGGCTGGGAAAGGCCTAAAGGCCCAGCGAGGGCTCTGGCCGCCGTGCGCTGTGGGAGATGTAGTCCTTATGCCTTCCCCGCTGCGGCAACTCAGTGAGGAGTGAGATCCTCGAACTGCTATTCCCAGGACTACTAGGGGTTTCCCAGGTTACTTTGCAAAGGCATGGCGGGGAGAGCGTGAATGTCGGCATAGAGGGTAATCGGAGCTATATAATTCAAGTAGAGAGAGGCCCGAGGGTAAGGGAAGGTGGACGTCAGCCTCTTTCGGGAGACTTTTCGTGTTAATATACGCTGCTGGAGCTCACATTTGTCGAACACGCCGTGCAGAATTTCCAGTGTGAATGTGTAGACTTGAGTACGCGTCCGCCGGGTGTGTAGAGGGCAGTGAAGCTTTTCGTAGTTAGCATCTTCCCTGAGCGGAGCGGTTTTCTGTGAACATGATTTGTACTTTTCTACGAGCTGTACAGTATACGGAGAAGCTGCACAGGTCCTCGGGGAAGCGATTGTCTTTGCCACACTTGGTGCTTAACAAAGCTTGTTTGAAGACTGACCCGGGTTTGAGGTGGGGGCTGCAAGAGCGGACGAAAACGGTGCGACCTAGCTGTATTCTTGGAGTCACCCAGAAAACCATCTGGACGCAGGGACAGAGCCCCCAGAGAGCAAAAGAGGACAGCAGCAAACAAGTGTCTGTGCACAGAAGTCAGAGAGGGGAACCCGCCATCTCAACGTCACAGAAAGGTAAAAAGGAATTCTCCAGTAATGATCAGTCTTTCAACAAACGTGACAAGAGCTGCCAGTGCCCCTTTACACAAGTTCAGTGCTAAAGATGGAGAAACAGTTCACACAAAGTAAAAGGTAAAACCGTTAAACAGTTTCGAATCAGAGATATAGGCCTACAATTTTCTTCACAGAATTCAAATTTGAAAGTTGATTTTAATATAACTTTGTTGAATTATGGCTAGAAAATTTTTCTCAAATTGTATTAGTTCTGGTGTGGAGAGAGCTATATGAAACTTAACCGTTGTTTAATACTTTGTAATAGACAAGTCAATTTCCCAGATGTTGTCATTTCGTCTCCTTTGAATCTCGCATTCACTCTTTCAGACACATGAACGCTGTCCCTTTTACGTAGGAGGCACGCTGCCTCACTTTCACACAACTGAAAATTAAAGGCAAATTTTCCTATCTCAGCTTTCTAATATCCAGGCCAGTGCTCTTGAGGTCAGCCATTCACGAGTATTTCTTGAGCTTCCATTTTCCCTATCCTTAGCACTGGAACAGATGTTAATGGGTATGCCTAAGAATCCTATACTCAGTTAGCTTACCACTAAATTAAGAAGAAAGTAGATACAGAGTGAAACAAACAGTGAGAAAAGATTAATTGTGCTACAAAGAAAGTACTAGGGAGCATAAGATAAAGAGTAATTGGATAGAATAAATAGGAAAGAAAGATTATTGAGTCATAATCCATAGAGATTAACTCATGTAGTTTAACTCAATAAACACTTCTCTTGAGTGACTGCTGTTGTGCCCAGATACTGAGTTAGAGTTTCTATATTATAAAGATGTTCAAAACATCACTTACCTTCCGATGAAATGTGCAGTAATAGAAGGAACATATAAAATAGGAAAGGTGAAATGTAGTGCTGTCAGGTAAAGTCAGATAAGTTCTTACGGATAAGGTAAGTCATTTTAAATTTAACTTATTAATTCTTCACTTTACAAGTAATTTGTAGAAAAACTAAAAAGGAAGCAAAAAAAGTAACTCAGACATCCATGATTATACCACACAAAGATGACTGTTGTTAATATTTTGGTTTATGTCATTTCAGTGCATGTACTTTTTAACGGTTTTAACAAAAACATTTAACTGTATCCTACCAATTGTTTTGCAGTCTGCTGAATATGTCAAAAATATACTCATTCATTCGTAATAGCCTGAGCAGGGTTGTGAGGGGTGATTACAAGTTCAGCACAGATGAACAGCCTGTATGCAGAGGTCTCAGTCACAGAAGTGTCAGACAGCATGTGTCAGGTCATCTGCTCCAGCAACAGCACTGCTTACACTGCACTTGGGGCCTGCTGCAGAGCCCTGCCCTGATCTGGACCCCATAAAAGGTGACAGCTTTCCTGGTGACTTAGTGAAGGGCTGGGAACAGTATCCCCCAATGTGGAATATGCTGCCCCCAGAGTCCAAAGAGGCCCATCACACATCGTGGTAGGACATAGAGGATGCAATAGTTTATCTTTTACTTGGGGTGGGTGTCCCAGCATGCCCCATACAGCATATCCCTAAGAGTTTTGCTGATGTGGTTGGCAAGCCCTGGATCTTTGTTGGCCTCATCCCCCGCACTTGGAGCACATACGTCTTACCAAGTGTCCCAACATAGAACATACGTGCCACTTGTTACTTTTGCCTCTGACTAACATGATGGCATAAATAGAGTGGACAAATGTGATAAATGTGATGTTTTGCAGAATGTCCAGAACAGCATTGTCCAAGTAAAACTTTCTGCAGTGTTGGAAATGTTATATATGTGCTGTCCCTATAAGGTCCTGTGGCTACTGAGCACTGGAAATGTTGCTAGGGTGACTGAGGAACTGAGTTTTTATTTAAAGTTCACTTAAAGTTAATTTTAAAATTAAGGTCAAATAGCCATGTGTGGTGTGTAGCTACTGTATTGGACAGCTCAGATCCAGAAGGTCTGGGTCCATTAAAACTATGTTATGTCAGGGCAAACAAATCCTGGGCAAGACCCTATATATACACAGTTATTATCAGTTTCATGTTACTACGAACTGCTCCTGCTGCTCCCTCTCGACAGAGAAGGAAAAGAATACATTCTCCAGATCAATGGTCAATACCATGAGGCTTTGTTAGTGTGCTCTGTAAAGTTATCATATCTGGCATTGCATCTGTAGTGAGGCTGCTACTTGGTGGAATTTGCAGTGGACCACTATCATCCTCCAGTTTCTGTCTGGTTTTTGTAAGGGGCAGACTGGTGTATTACATGGGAGTATGATGGGGACCACCACCCCTCTGTCTTTAGGTCTTTAAGAATAGAGCTATTCTGCCATTCCCCCTTCGACGTGATACTGTTTTTGATTTACTGTCTGAGTCAGTGGGGGGCAGTTTCAGAGACTTCCATTTGATTTCCCCATTATGGTAGCTTTTAACCCACTCTTAAAGGAACTAAAGGAGCGGTTGTTGCTGGCAGTTGCGGAGCCTATCGATTCCAGTTATATATTGGAAATCAGGGAAATATTACCAGGTAAGTCCCTGGACCTAGCTGTGCACCTTTTACAAGCCAGGCTCCTTCTTAGACGGCCACCATATGTACCTAACAGAGGGGCCAGAATGACTCTTTGGGTCCTGCGGCATCAGTGTCAACTCAGACTGTCCAACAGACCTTGAAATGTTTGAGTATTCCCCTTTCTCCAGTGCATGGTTACCAAGTCAGTGCTGTAGGTCTCTTGGGTGAAGAACCAGGGGAATCCTATGTACTTGGTCAGGTGCCTCGTGAGAGAGGCTGGTCTTTCCTTCAGTATATGGCTTCCGGGTCTGAAAACTGTTTCAGGTCCAGAAAGGGAGCCAGTGATCATGACTTTGCACTGGGCGTCTGCCTTCAGCTTCTTGATCACCCATAATTAATTCCTCGTGATAATATAGATTGATCAGTATCCTTGTGAGCTGCCTATCAGTCTCACCCTTGAGAACACCATCTTCTAGTATCATGTCTTGTTCTCTGCAGGGCAGACACCCCCGGCTGCCACTCCACCCTTGCCGTTCATTATAATAGTTGCAACCACTTAGCTTTTGTTTGTTTGTCTGTTTTGAGGAAGATCGGCCCTGAGCTAACATCTGCCAATCCTCTTTTGCTGAGGAAGACTGGCCCTGGGCTAACATCCATGCCCATCTTCCTCCACTGTACATGGGACACCACCACAGCATGGCTTGACAAGCGGTGCGTCAGTGCGCGCCCGGGATCCGAACCAGCGAACCCCGGGCCGCCACAGCGGAGCGCATGCACCCAACCGCTTGCGCCACCCGGCCGGCCCCGCAACCACGTAGCTTCTGATGGTTCAATACCACGGCCGTCCCCATGGCTTTCAGGACACCCTGTTTGATGTAAACAGTGTCCTCCAGGCCCTCCACATAGTCAGCTGGTGGGTTTTGGTTTTTATTTATTATATCCACTCTAGCATGCCCCCTCTCTGAGCTTTTTGATCCTTTCCTCCACAGTTTGCCGTGGCAGTTCTGTCATTTTTACTTCACCTAATGTGGACCATCCTCTCTCTATGTTTCCAAGAGTGAACCTAGTCATGCTTCAGCTCCCAAGGTGCTTGCCAGATTGTTCAATTCTTGACCACAGGAGAGTGCTCCCCTATTGATAAACTCACACTTGTCCAGTTCTGTATTCTGTACCCCTTCATACCGCCCTTAGGATACAGTCACATATGTGCTCTCCCAGCTCCTGCTGGTGGGGCCTATGACTCCTTCAAGACACAGTCCATTTCCTCCTTCCTCCCAGCGATGTTGTAACCTGGCCAGAGCACATCTTGCTAAGTGGAAGCCCCCACTTAGTCTTCAAGGAGGAGGAAGAGCTGGCTTTGAACTGGGAAGCATGAGCTGCTGCTTCAGGCCCAGAGGGTGCAGGAGAATCTATGGATTCAAGATTTTTGAGTGCATCAACCTAGATGTCCCCTTACCAAGCTTCAGGTTCCTTTTCCTCCCAAATGAGGACCCTGGCCTTGACATGAGAGACCTGATGGGGTTGAAATTCCAGCCTCTCTGCTGCCATTATGCCCTGGGCCTGACCTTCAGCTTTTTCTGCCCTCTAGGTGAAACAGATGAGTCTCTTGTTTTGCTATCGAGGAGGCCTCTACTTTCACACTTCATCTTCATTGGTGATTAGTTACCTCATCTTTTTACTATCGTTCTCCAGTGCATTGGTGGCCCCCAACCTCAGCCATTCAATCCGAGTCATTAAGATTGCTGTTCCTCCTAACTTCCCAAAATATGACAACAGCCAGCGAGTTCACGTCCACCAGTATTCCATCCTAGGTCACCATCACTAGAGCTGCAACAAGTGCATATCACTGTGTGCCAGGCCTGTCAGTGCTGCATCCACCAGCCAGCAGCCAGTGATCAGCTCCAAAATCCCAATTTAGAGCTGCTTCCTAGGGCCACGCCTGGTAGCACTTGTCGTAGGTCAGGTTCCCAGGGAAGCAGACTCAGTGGGATTTGCATAGAGGAGGTTTTTGGGGAGTGCTCTCAGAACACATCTGTGAGGGGTGAGGGAAGCAGGACTATGCAAAGGGAGAAGTTGTAGGGCAGCACATTTGCTATAGGGGCCTCAGCCAGTTCTCCAGGGAGCTCTGGGGCTGGGCTGGCCCGTCACAGTCCTTCCACCATAAGGTGTAGGGGCTGAGTCTTTTACTTCAGCACCAACCAGGCATTGGGTGTGGGAAGAGCCATGACTTGGGTGAAAAGGTTCTCTTCAGATGAAGGACTTCCTAGAGGGGAACTTAGCTGAGAACCATCAGCCCCCTAAACTCCCCACAGGGCAGGGAATGGGAGCCTCAGTCCTGAGGAGAGGATCTGGGGGGCTCACCATAGCACCCACTACTGCAGAGACAAATGCAGAGACAAATGGCACAAGGGTTTTTTGCATGAAGGTGTAGGTCTGAAAGGGTCAAGAAGAAGAAGGTAGGCAATGAGCAGCTTCTGATGAAGACAACTATAAAATAATACTTAGAAATTTTAAAAATGTGCAGACTATGGATAGTACTCAGCACAGGGCTTTGCACATAGTAGATATACAGTAGATGTTTATGATTGAGTAATAGAGAAGGCCTTCCAGATACCCTAAGCAAGGCAGGAATGGTTGTGTTAGAGGGGCAATCAGGAATCCAGGGTGTTGGGGCCCAAGACCTGATTTTGGTAACAGGGAATAATATGGCTACTTAGTAGTGTGCTCGTTATTGTATTCTCAGCTTGGGGCTGGGCACACAGCTGATAGTTAATATTCATTAAGTGTGTTGTATGAACTTAGTAGAGAAAGAAATGAGATGTTCTCATTGTCAGCCTCTCGCCTCCTGAGCCTTGCTAAGGAGAGGAGACTTGTGACAGTGTTTGTGTGGATCAAGCCCATGAATCACACAGGTTCTGGCGGATGCAGTCTTCTTCTTATTTCAGTCACATCTTTTCAGTTAGGAACTGGTACTGAAAACTTGAAGGATTGTTATACTAAAGAGCACTTTTAAATAAGTATTATTTTATAAAAGTAATAGAAGCGTATTGTACAAAAGGGAATACTATAAAAATAACCTGTTACCGTTTTGTTGTGTTTCTGAAAAAAAATCTGTATCCCAGAAATCTGTATTCCTAATGTAGTGAATAAATTAATCTGTAAATATAACCCCAGGAGGTGATTCACTTTTTCAGCATCAGTGAAAAAGTGTAGTTGTAACTGTAATATTAAAGCACTTTGCATATGTATGTAGATACATATATCTATACATATAAATATACATAACATATTCTCTGTCCCATGATAATATCTCGATTGAATTTATTTAGCTGTAAGAACTTCTGTTTAATCCATATGCACATCTTTTATTAGTGTTGGGGAAAAAAAGTACAGATTCTGTGTAGGTTCTTCATTTTATAAGTCCATTCAATTCACAAATCTGTCTGGCCAAGCAAATTCCTGTTCTAAATTTAGTTCTCTGTTTGTTGTAGGCACAGCCAGTGGGGGTGGTAGAATGAGAAAGTTACTGTTAAGAGTTGAGGCCCCTTTTGATCCCTTTGACTGCAGTTGACAAAGCCAGCACTTTCCTTAATCTGTGACAGCAAACTATGTCCTGTGTTGCCTAATCTGTGACAGTTGTTTTCACACTGGGGGATTGGATCACTTGTTAAAGAGATTTCCTCAGCTTAGAAAGTAAGAAAGGTAATTTTCCTCAGTAAAATTACACTAAACAAAATACAAGTATTGACTCCTAGGCCCTGCTCCTAGAATTCTGCTGACATTCTTTTAAAAAGTTCCTTCAAGGGGCTGGCCCAGTGACATAGTGGTTAAGTTCTCGAGCTCCACTTCCGTGGCCCGGAGTTCACAGGTTGGAATCCCAGGCATGGACCTACACACTGCTCATCAAGCCATGCTGTGGCGGCGTCCCATATACAAAATAGAGGAAGATTGGCACAGATGTTATGTCAGAGACAATCTTCCTCAAGCAAAAAAAGGAAGATTGGCAACAGATGTTAGCTCAGGGCTACTCTTCCCCTCTAAAAAAAAAAACCAAAAAAAAGTTTCTTCAAGAGGTTCTGATTCATAGGGAGGTTTGAGAAGAGCTGCTCCAGAACATGTGGAAACCCACTCTTAGGTCCTGAGTGTTCCTGCTCATATGTCTGCATACGTGTAACTCAGTGGTGTTTTCTCTTTACAGTGAAAGAAGCTGGAAGAGATTTTACCTACTTAATAGTGGTGCTTATTGGAGTCAGCATTACAGGTTGAAAACACAGCAAGTATAACACCCCTGAATATCTTTTTTATTTACCATTTGTCTCGCTTTTGCTTTGCTTGATCTTCTTTTTCTGTGATTTCCAGGTGGCTTGTTTTACACGATTTTCAAAGAACTTTTTTCTTCATCCAGTCCTAATAAGATATATGGGAAAGCCTTAGAAAAATGCAGATCACACCCCGAGGTTAGTCCTCAAGACCGAGTTACACGGACTCTGATAATCGGGAGAAAATGTTGGGGAGTTGGGGGGTAGTGGGCAGAATTCACATTCCGGTTCTGAGACTAGTAAAGTTTATGTAATAATAAAACCATAAGGGTTGGATTGTGATTATGTTATTGGCTCTTTGTACTAGAAATGCTTTGATGAAGGGCAGCCAAAGGTCCATCTAGGGGTGTTTTCATCCTAATTGTATAAGAGAGAGTCATTTTACTAGTTGTCATAGATAATAAATGCTTAGACTATACCAGAGTATTAAACTCACGCGATATGTCTAGTCTTTTAAAAACACCTGAGTCGTGACCTCATGATCTTATATAATAGTAATTGTTGGCGCTTATTGAGAGCACAGTGTGTGCCAAGCATTGTGCTCAGTGTTTGAGTGCATTGTCTTTAGTAAATCTCACAGAACCCATTTGTGTTAGATAGTCCTACTGTCCCATTCGCAGAAGGGGAAGGTGACACTTAAGGAGATTAAAGGACTCCACTAAAATTGCTGAGATTAGTGCAGGAGCCAGGACCTGAATCCGAGCTCGTCCAGTTCCAAATCTTGTGCTTTGAAGCACAACCTGCCTAAACCATTCTCTGGAAAGAGGGAGACATATGGAAAAGCCACCTCACCTCTTTGAAAGATCCTTTCCAGAAGGAAGGCTTTATATATGCTTTGCAGTCACAAATGGAAAGCCAGTATAGCCTGTGAAGTGCCAGATTTCTTACCCCCTGGGCGGAAGCCTTCAGCGTTGAAAAATGTTACTCATTGAAATCTTAACTCTTGTACCTTGAGAGAAGATAGCAGATAACATCATAAGTATGAGGGCTGCTTCTCACAGACTGAGGAATAATGCCAGGAAACAGAACATGCACTCCCTGGTGAGGGGAAGATGCAAACCCGCGCTCTCAGCCTGCGTGCCCTGCACTGGGCTTCCCTGGGGCACACCACCAAATGCTCCATCGGTTTCTCTCATCACGTCGGGGAGGAAACCTCAGAAGCTAGTGGTCTCTGGCATCTTTCTTGTGAAATCTACTGATTTCTCGTAAGTGGATTCTGGGAAGTCTGAGAACCATGGAGAAGGAGGCAGGGAGATGCACCTCTGAGTAAGTTGAAAATGAGCAGGAAGTGAGGAAGGTTTCTATTATAGTTATTGGGAGACCACATTACCTGACAGAAACTCTATAGACTACAAAAATAAATATGAGGAGTAGCATAATTAAATGATAGGATGCAACTCTAAAGTCATAACTTAATTTGCTGCCTAAAAGAGCTCTACGAATAATAATTAAACTTTAACAGATCGATTTTGTCAACATTAAGAGCCTGTTCTTTGCCAGGCACTGTGCCTGGTTGAAAAATAGAAAATCCCCGTGTTCTGATACTGATATGTTGAATCTATTAAAGTAGATTATCTGAACAGTTGTTCTGTTTGTTTCAGCTACACAGTTCTTAAATATTTATCTCTCATCTTAACATATTAGTCCTTTTGATTTATGCCTGAAAAATGTGATACTGAAGATTTCCCAACAAAATAAGAAAAATTTTATAGAGTTGAGGTAAAATTTTAGTTTGATATCAAATTTCTATTTTTTTGAAAAGGTTCCAAAATATTTGCATTTTAAATTCAATAAAAACTACATTTCCACTTATGAGTTTTCCTGTTAAAAATAATTGATTCACGTCTCTAGATCTGGTTTGTTTTAAATAGATCATTATTACTTGTTTTTATTTCACTGTGTTTAGTGACTTAAAAAATCGTTTTGGTCTTATAGCTTTTAGTATTAGACCCCATTAGGTAAATTTCACTAAAAATGCTCACACATTTAAATATCTGAACACTTTGTTTTATTGTGTTTGTTTTTATAAGGGGAGTGGGACCAGCTTCACTTCTGCCTGCACTGTTGTGAAACTACAAGTAACACCATGAAGTTACCTATTTCAAGCTCTGTGCATGAAATATTTAAGTTATTTATGGGATGATTTTTGCATAATAACTTTTTTGAGTTTTCTCATTATTGGAGTTGTCATTTTGAAAGTGTCCCAGGCTTACTGATTTCTTTTTTCCTAAAATAAATCACTTGGTTCATCAGAAGATATTTTCTTAGAAAGTTTAAAATAAAAATAACACTTGCTGAATAACACATTGTCTTTGTGCTATAGGTAATAAGTGTCTTTGGGGAGCCCGTGAAAGGCTTCGGGGAGGTGACGAGGCGCGGGCGAAGGCAGCACGTCAGGTACCGCAGTTTACTCAAATCCGGAAAGCTCGGGGATGATTTTTAAGTGAAAGGAATTTAGCCTTATGTTCCTTCAATTTCTTGACAGTTTTATTGAATACGTAAAAGACGGGCTGAAACACATGCGTGTGAAATTCTACATCCAGGGCTCCGAGCCTGGGAAGCAAGGAACCGTGCATGTCGAAGTGAAAGAGGTGTGAGCGTCAGTCGTGGTGGGTTAGGTGATTCTGAATGCAGTGCTTACTACTGAAAGCACTGGAAAGAAAAATAACACCTTGAAATACCTTTTTTTTTTTCAGAACCCAGAAAGTGGTGAATATGAATTTCAGTATATATTTGTAGAACTTGAACCCTACCCTAGAAGAACTATTATCATTGAAGATAATCGATCCTAAGATAATTAAAAGAATCAAGCAAACATGCTGTTTCCTGATGGATGCTGAACAGTGCAGACTCACAACTCTGATCTTCACAGCTCTCTTCCAGAGTCTGTTTTGAATAAGACAGGAAAGAGTATATAGCTCGTAAAAGTGAATGTAACTGGGTAGTTGTTGCATTTAGACAAACTGAATTTGAGATTTTCTTGTAGAGTGAAAAATCATGAAATAGAGCATATTTTATGTTATCTCATTGAATCATCAATCATGGACAGTATTTGTGCTCTACTTAATATCATCTTTTATGATAAGAAATTTTTATTATTAAAAATTTTCACTGTAAATAAGAAAATAGAGTTCAGTATTTTATGCTTTTTTATGTTGTATAACTGTGTAAAATCTGAAATAAAATTAAAACAAACAAAAAGATGCTTCCTTCCATATACTTTAGAATCTGACTTGAGATGCACATTTGAAAATATTTGAGAACTGTAGGGGAAGAAATGATAAATGCACTCTTCAGAATTACCATAGAAAGGTTATACACATAGTATGATTTTTAGTAATCCGGTATATCTCATGTTTGCCCCTCTGTGAGTGGGGGCATTGTATGCTGTGGGGAAAGTACACGCTCTAAAGTCGGCTGGACCTGGGCTCTCACCAGGTATGTGGGCCTGGGCAGGTACTTTAGTCTCGTCAAACCTTGCTGTCGTGGCTTGTTAGGATGACTGAACGAGGTGATAAGTGCCAGTGCCTGGACCATAGGAGGCGCCCTTGAAGTGTCCCTTCTCCTTTAGGACTTGCACTGATGCTTTATACTGCCGAAAGAAGCATGGAAAGGAGTGAGAGTCATTTAAGCATATAGGTAATGCCTTTTTGGGATATGGAAACCCTATTTTATTTGAATTGTTTACAGAGGACTTGGAGAAAAGTGACTGACTTACAAGAGTGTAATCACACATCTGTATAAAGTGCTGCGTGCACTGGGAGAGATCTCCAGTGTTGAGGAATCCCTATAAAATGTGCCTGCCTTCTCTCTCAACTGCTACAGAGGAATTTCTTATGTGTACTTGTAGCGTATTTGGGATGGAAGGAGCCCCAAGCAGTCTGTCTCCCCCTTTTAGTCTGTCTCCCTGCTTGATTTAGTTCTTGCTGTAGTTTGTTTAATTGCTTGTTTTAAATATTTTTAACTTTAATTATGAAAAATTTCCAACATTTAGGAAATACAGAAAATATCACAGCAGACACCCTTGTCTCCCTGAGGTACCACATTTTACAGTGGCTGGGTGAACTTTAACTTTGGCTTCGTCTCCTAACCATTTTTCCCTCTGCTTTCCAGTAGAATGTTCAATTTCAGTGTTGTTATCCTTGTCTGAAATGTCAACATTTAACAGGCTGAGAAGTTCTGCTTGCTATCCTACACTCAGACGAGCAGCCCTGCTCTTTCACAGGACCTGCTCAAACCAGGGCTTGACAGGGACCTGTCCTAGGAGCTGGTTGGGGCTTTAGCCTTCCTTCCTGACCCTGTTCTTATGGTTTAGGACCAATGTTTTTCTATATTCATCTTCATGTGCCTCCCATTTTATGATGCCCCTTTAAGATATGAGCTTATCATTACGTTACTTTTATAATCAGAAATACAAAAGGAAAAATCTCTGTACTGAAAAGATTCTTCTGTATAACCATGAGAAAATGTTATGCAATTTTTTAGATACCTTTGTTTTCTTTCCCTCTAATGTAATTTGATACCACATGTTAAAATTTCTTTTGTTGAAAAAGCTTCTTTAATCAACCTTGTCATCTCCGGTTCTGATTCTGGCGTCTCTGTCATGGGCTTGCTCCCATCTTTTCTCTGAAATTTTTTCTAAAATATGGGGTTCACGTCTGACTGCCCAGTATCCCCTTCTATCATTTATACGAATTAAAAGAATGATATGGTCATTTTCTTCCAAGGCTTTTATTACTTCATCCCCAATCAGTGATCTTTTTTGTCAGAATTACGTCTAGAGCAGCATTTCCCCTTGTGTCCCTCTATCGCCTCAATGAAGAAATTGTTGGCAAGACAAGTCAATTTTTCAGAGGTTCTCCTTTTAGCAAAATGAGATATCCAGCCTATCTGCCTACCTCGCAGACTCCACAACTTTTTTTAAATCAGTGCTAAGTAACCATTTCCTTCCATTTGGTGAGCTAGTGGTATTACTTCTGTTTCCATATTCTCGTCCAAATATGATTCCCCAATTCCTTTTTTATGGATTTCCACTTAAGGTCATACTTACTTTATATACAACTATTTAATATACTTAATATAGTACTAATGTGTTCCATCTGTTAGATTTCATTCATTCAACAAATGTTTATTGACATGCTATATGTGAGACCCTATGCTAGGTGCAGAGAACCCTAAAAGGAAAAATTAACAACCCCTATCTTGGAAGAATTTTAAGTAGGTAAAAAAAATGTGGTTGCTCTGGTGGTCTGACCCAGTGAGAGCGTGGGGCTCAGGCAGCAAGTCTGCCCAGGGCAGTCAGAGGCTTCAGAGAGGAGGCACCATTAGAGATGAGGTTGATGGGCAGGTAGGAGTTTGCCAAGTCACCATGTGAGGAGGGAACATTCTCAGCCAAAGAAAGAGCATGTGCAAAGGTCCAGAAGCATCTACTAGCACTAGTGATCACTGGCATGGAATACAATGAAGGGGAAGGGAGTACCCGGTACTGGGCAGTGCTGAAGTTGCAGTGGTGAGCACTCGCAGACACCGCCCTCACTTTCTTGGGGCTTACAGTCCAGGAGGGGGGACGGACACTATCCATGTGATTACATGGTCTGTGTGATTAAAACCCGGTACATGTATGAAGGAAAGTTAGAACAGAGGGACCTCATCCAGTGTGGGGTTGGTCAAGAAAGGATTTCTTTCAGATGAAACGCCATTTGAACTGGAATGCAAAAGGACCAAGTTGACGGCTGTGACAGAGCAGAAAGAGCTGTGTGTACAAAAGCTGCAAACCTGCAAGGGCTGAGAGTGAAAATGGCCAGTGTGTGTGACTGGAGTACTGGAGCAGGGGCGGGGTTGTGGGTGCTGGGGTCTAGTACGTCACGTGACAGCAGGTAGACGTTTTCATTCTGTAGGCAATGCAGAAGATCAAGGAAAATTTGAGCAGGAATTGAAGCTACTGTGTCTATATTCTAGAAGGAATTCCTAGCTGTGTGAATGATGAGACTCAAGGGAAAGAGACCAGGATGAAAGTTACTACGATAGTTCAGACGAGATGAAGCTAGGAAAGAGTTGGGACATTTGAGAAATACTTAGGGAGTAAAAGGACAGGACTTTGCCACCACGTGGGTGTAGGAAATAACATGGAGGACTCAAGAACAGCTTTCAGGTCTGACTGGAGTGGTGTTAAGAATTCAGGAAGGGAATGGATTATGAGTGGAGGATACTAAATTCTGCATCGAGCTCGAGGTACATCTGAGTCAGCCAGGGGAAGAGTCTAGAAGCAACAGGATATTCACATCTGGTGCTCAGGAGACTATCTGGCCTAGAGAAGGAGAGCTAAGCATCACCTGCAGAGAGGCAGCTGCTGAAGCTGCAGGGGTGAATGAACTGCCAGGTGGAGCAGTAGAGGGACAGTGGTGACCATGGAGGGAGAGATTGCCGCGGGACTGAGTCCCCTGACCGCACGCCGTCTTGCAGTCCCCTCATTCCCTATGATGGTTAACAGAGGCTAAGGGAAGGACTTCCGTGTTTTCATTTTGAATTTCAAATTTTTGTCTTATATTTTTGTTGTGTTGTTAAAGATGAAAGAAATGTGGGAACATGCAAAAGGAAAAGAGGCGATGGAGGAGAGGTTGAAATCCAGGGAAGATAAAGGGCAAGGGTGGAGCAAGGTCCCTGGGAATTTGATTCAGAGCAGAGCTGAAGGCAGGATAGTGGCACATGCAGAGAAGTCTGTGCGTGGGTGACAGATTTGGAGGTGTTCCCAGCTGGCTAGCCTCGTACATCATCAGCTGAGAGAGAAGTCAGAGTGGGTTTGGGACTTGAAGAGGGAGATGAAAGTTTAGAATAGCCTCTGAAGGGGAAGAGAGGAAACTGACCAGGAACTGATGGCCAACATGAGACCAGACTCAGAAAATGTGTGAAAATGCTGATCTGCACTGATGTGCGACCCTCTCCTGCAGTGTCCCCAGTGACAAGCATGGACGAGGCAGATAGTTGGATCGATCTGTGGTTAGTTTGCTAGGCTGCTGAAAGAGTTGACTTGTTTCTTTCGAAGAATGTGTGCCCTCAGTGAAGAGGGACTTGCCCACCCAGATCTCAGCACTTACTGGAAAGCTGCGGTCATTAATGCAGCACGGTGTTCACGCAGCCATAGACAATTAAACAAACGGAACAAAACAGAGACCCAGACAGACCTAGAGACAGGAAACTGGTTATACGTCAGAGGCTATATTACAGAGCTATGGGAGAGGATTCAATATTCAACAAATAGTGCTGGAACAATTAGTTACCCCAGGGAGAAAAATGAAATTGGGTCTCTACCCCACAGCACACAAGAATCAATTCCAGGTACATTAAAACCTTACAACTTGTAGAAAATGATATGGAATATCCTCATGACACTTTTGGAAAAGATTCCTTAAATAAGACACGAAATTCGAAACCATGAAGAAAAAGATTGATTTTAAAATTAAGAACTTAATCAGAAATAATAACTAAATAAATAAAAGTAAGTCACTAATGAGACAACTTTAAAGCATATGTAGCCAAGAAAGGATTGCTTTTCAGAACGTGCAAAGAACTCCAAAACAAGTAGCGAGGAGGAACCTAGTGCAAAAGTGGACGAAAGACTGGAATAGTTATTCAGTGAAGAGGAGAGGAGAACACCCAGAGCTAAGGAACTTCTGGAAATATTTTCAGCCTCACTAAAATCAAGAAAATGCAGAATGGGTGACTAGTCTTCATCTACCAGAATTGCTGAAAAAATGTTAAATCAGTAAAGAAGTGAAGGGAGCACAGGGATCCCTTATCCACTGCTGGGGGGTTATAGTGGGACCTGCTGGGTAACAACTGAGCATTATTTAGTGTAGTTGAAAATGCAGATCCTCCATAACCCAGGACATCCTCCCATAGCTGTTTACCTTAGAAAATCTCTGGCACATGCACCTGGAGCCAAGTACAAAATACATAAGAGCAAAAATCTGGCAAGTTTGGACAGAAGATTAATGAAAAATACTATGATACACAATTTCAGTTACCATATGTTATGGTCTGAATGTTTGTGTCCCCCTAGAATTCATATGTTGAAATCCTAACCCCCAAGGTGATAGTATTAGGAGGAGAGGGCCTTTGGGAGGTGATTAGGTCGTGAGGGTGGGGCCCCCATG